CTCAAAGAGCAGGTGTGGAGGGGGGGGAATTGGGGAATACAGGGTGATTTGGGGAGACAAGGAGGGATTTGGGGGTCACACAGAAGGATTTGGAGGGACACAGAAGGATTTTTGGGGGGAACAGGGATATTTGAGGGGGCACAGAGGGATTTGGGATCACATGGAGGAGTTTGAGATTACACTGAGGGATTTGGGGGGACATGAAGAGATTTGGGGGGACACAGAGATTTTGGGGGGAACAGATGGGTTGGGGGCAGAGGGGTTTTAGGGGGGATGAGGCTTGGGGGGCACGAGGGGATTTGGTGGGGTAACACAGAAGGATTTGGGTGGGATACATGGAAATTGAGGGGGGCAAAAAAGGATTTGGGGTCACACTGAGAAATTTGGGGGGCACAGCAGGAACCAAGATGCAAACAAAATCCTTTGGAACTGGAGGGGGGCAGTTGTGGGTTTCTGCTGCTCAGGGGGGTCCTGGGGCATTTGGGGTGCTCAGGGCCCTCCTTGACACCGCAGTCCCTGCGGGAGCCCCCATGGAGCAGGATGAGCCAGACGTGGTGGAGCTGCAGGACTCGGACGAGGGGGACGTGGTCCGGAGGGTCTTCATTGGTGAGAGGGGGACCCCAAAAGTGGATGGGGGGGTTGGGGGGCTCCAGATAACCCTGAAAGGCAGTACAGGAAATTTTGGGGGGATCCAGGCACTTTTGGGGGGCTGTAGGCAAATTTGGGGGGGCTCCAGGCACCCCAAGAAGGGGGTGCAGGCAATTTGCAGGGGATCCAGATGCACCTAGAAGGGGGTGGAAGCATTTGGGACATGGTCCAAGGCACTTCTGGGGGTCTCCAGACACCACTGTAGGGGGGTAGAGGCATTTGAGGGGGGCTTAAAACACTCTTGAGGGGGTTCCAGACCCCACAAGAAGGGGGTGTGGAGAATTTTAGGGGCCTTCAGGTACTTTTGGGGGGCTCCAGACACTCCAGGATTGGGCACAGCCCCTTTTTGGGGCACAGTGAGCATTTGGGGAGGGGATCCAGACCCTTTTTGGTGCACTGGACACGAGGAGGGGGCCACAGCCCCTTTTTGTGCCCCCTCTTGGGACACAACAAATACTTGGGTCGGGGGTCTAGCCAATTTTTGGGATCCAGTGAACATTTGGGATGGGTGTCTGGCCCCTTTTTGGAGCACAAATATTTGGTCAGGGGTGCAGCCCTTTTTGGGTCACAATGAACATTTGGGTCAGGGGTCCAACCCCTTTCTGGGGCTTAATAAATATTTGAGGAGAAGGCCCAGCCCCTTTTTGGGTCACAACGAACATTTGGGGAAGGGTCCCAGCCCCTTTTGGGTCACAACAAACATTTTGAGGAAGCTCCAGGCAAATTAGGGAGGCTCCAGGCACCCTTTTAGGGTGCAATGAGCATTCGGGGAGGGGGCCCAGCCCATTTTAGGAATACAATAAACATTTGTGTCAGGGTCCCAGCCCCTCTTAGAGTCACAGCAAACATTTGGTTGGGAGGTCCAGCCCCTTCTGTGCTCTCATCCCCTCCCCGTGTCCCCCCAGCCGATGATGGCATCGTGAGCGACGGCGAGGCCGAGGTGCTGCCTCACGAGATCATCCGCACGGTGATCCCGCACAGCCCCCTGCGCCCCCCGCTTCCCCGCGGGACCCCCGGCCCGGCCCCGGGGGGCTCTGAGGAGGGCGGGGGGCGGCGGGGCGGAGGCCGCCAGCGCCCCTTCATCTGCAACGAGTGCGGCAAGAGCTTCAGCCACTGGTCCAAGCTGCTGCGGCACCAGCGCACGCACACGGGCGAGCGGCCCAGCACCTGCGGCGAGTGTGGCAAGAGCTTCTCGCAGAACTCGCACCTGGTGCAGCACCGCCGCACCCACACCGGGGAGAAGCCGTACAGGTGCAGCCACTGCGGCAAGAGCTTCTCCTGGAGCTCCAACCTCATCCAGCACCAGCGCATTCACACCGGGGAGCGCCCGTACGGCTGCGCCGAGTGCGGCAAGAGCTTCACGCAGAGCAAGAACCTCATCAAGCACCAGCGCACCCACGCCGGGCCGGGGGCAGCGCGGCCGCGGCGCTGCGCCCACCCTGCAGGCGCCCCGAGGGCGATGAAGGGGTCTCGGGCAGGGGGTGAGGGCGAGGGGCCCGTGGGGGCCGAGGGCGGCTGCGGGCAGGAGCCGCTGATCTGCATAGAATGTGGGGAGAGCTTTGCCCGGAGCGCCGCGCTCAGGAGGCACCGCCGGGGGCACCGCCCGCTCTTCGTGCCCTGAGGGGACAATGTGGGGACAGTGCCCACTCTTGATGCCCTGAGGGAACGTGGGGACACTGTGGAGAGGGCACAGGGACAGTGGGGCACTGTCCTTGCACCACTGGGGGCACCACCCACTCTTTGTGCCCTGAGGGACAGGGGAACAGTGGCACCGGGACATGGGGACACATGGATAGTTGGGGCACTGCCTGCTCTTCATGCCCTGGGGGGACACCGTGGTGGGGATGCAAGGACAGTTGGACAATGCTCTGGCAGTGTCCGCTGTTGGTGACCTGCGGGGACACAGGGACACAGAGACAATGGGCCATCCAGGTGGGGGACACAGAGACTGTGACACCATGCGAGGAGACAGGGAGTGTTTCATGGACAGGACATGGTGACAGAGCTGGGGGAACACAAGTTATGCCACAGATGAGGGAATGTGGTGACAACAAGCAGAGACAGTGGGGGGGCACCTGGACTGGGACAAGGACAGGACACAGTGACTCCAAGGGGGAGGACACACGGACGGGACAGAGTGACACAGAGCTGATGTCCCCAAGCCCACCCTCTGCCCTCTGTCACCCTCGGTGCCCCTCGCTGGTCCCTGTCGGTACCACATCCCAGAGTTGTAAATAGGGGAAGGGGGGAGGGACACAGGGGTGGGACCCCGGGGGTGGGAGGTGACACCGGGATGCCCATGTGGGGGTGGGGACCCTGTGAGGCGGGGAGGGGGCATGGACGGGACGGGGCTGTGAATAAAGTTGTGTTTTGGGGGACCTAGGCGCTGGTTTCAGGGGGTGACAAAAATGGGGGGGGAACAAAAGTTCCCCAAGGGGGGTGGGCAGAACCCTGGGAGAGAGAGTAAAAACCCCTGGAGAAGGGAGGGCAAAAAAGCTCTGCGGGGGGTGATAGCGGGGCACAGGTGTTTGAAGAGTCCCGGGTCAGTCCCTGCAAAACATGAAAAGATGCCAGGAGTGACATAAGATATTTGGGGGTCAAGAAAGGGGTCTCAAAACTTGGAAGGGATGGCAGGGAGGTCCCAAATTGGAAGGGGGTGGAGGGACCTCAAAACTGAGAATGGCGTTGGAGGGGCTGTTTAAGGACGCAGCCGACCACTCAGGCCCACAGGCCCTGGACATGAACGCCGGCCCTTTTC